AACAGGGTGCGAGCAATGATAAAGCAGGGAGAGAAAACTGTTAAATTTAGTAGATTCTTGACAGACCAGAGGTGAAAAACGACAGTCGCAAAAATGCACTATTCATTCTTGAAAAGATACAAATGTAAAAGATGTAGAGGATCACTTAAAGAGCTACTGTAAACTGCAAAAAGATTAACCTTAAAAATTAACCTTAAAGATTTGGTGAATACCTATGAAATAAATTGCTTTTTCTCTTCCTTTTGCTCCTTTCGACTGCTTCTCTGCCTTCTGGGCAGAGATCTCCAGAATCTGCTTGACTGCATGAGAAGATGTTGCCGCGCTAGTTTTCGGTTTTGATGATTTTATTTCAGTAAGCGAATTTTAGTACAGCGAAACCTCAAACTTGGGTGATTATACCTTAGAAGCAAAAATCATAAAGCAAAGCGTACAAAAAGGTTATATCCAAACATAAAACACGTTAAAACATCAAAAAGTGAATAAAGTTAATCACAGAGGTAAGTAGATAGGCTCGTCTCCCCCTTCATCAGTCTCTTCTCCTAGCTAAATAGTCATTCTGCACTGGGCAAGGTTGACCGCCTTGATCAAACCCCGCCGGCTCTTCCTCCGCCATAGATCCCTGGTCAAGTTTGGAGTTGTTTTTCCGCAGATTCGACTGGTTTGTTTTTATCTCCTCCCGTCTACCCAGCTTGGGGAAATCGTCCGAAACGTTGGCTCCCCTCTCTCCAGCTTGAGAGTGTTCGCTTGACGCGACAATACCTACCCGCAATTCGTTTGAATCAAGTTGTTGTAGGAAACAGAAAAGTTCTACTACAAACGGACAGTAAGAGACAAGAAACTGTAGCAGAACTTTTAAACTGCCGTCACCTGAGTCGTCAGGTAGAAAACAAGAGCAATCTAATGTTGAAACATATAATCACTGGAACCCAAGTAATCAAATCTTGGGGGCACAAGTGTAACCGACGTTACCACTACTGTTAATCATGCTACGCGAAATGTTGCCAGATAATCCTTAAAGCTGATTTGACAACCTTCCAGAAGAAGCGGGAATCTTTTTGCAATCCGCATTTATAGAATTGCTTCGAACTGCAGTGAAGAATCAAAGTTAATAATCTTGTAGAGTACCAGAGTTATTGAACGACGTTCTTGGAAAAAATAATAACAATTTGGAGGCAAAGGGAAAAAGGGCAACTGAGAATACCTGATGAAGCGGCGAAACCAAAAGAGCAAACCAATCAAAGAGCATTTTGCTCTGTGAACAGAACTTTACTGCTATCAACCAAAAACTGTTTGTGGTACTACGGGGCCCAGCTTTTACTGACCAAATGAGCCAGGAGTGTCATCAAATAAAAAAGCTGATTACGGATGAGGCCATCTTGCTAAAATTTTTGAGTTTTCTTAGCTTCATGCTTTAGCTTCCAAATCTGAGCCAAATCTTCATGACCACAGATGTTCAACAGCTGCGTCTATATTCAAATGCGTTACCCGAGCGAGCCAGACAGCTTGCCCAAAACAGCTGCTTAACTAGTCTTCTGATCCAGAAGCTGGTTGAGTTTGTTAGCGTAACTCAGTTTAGCAAATGTACCCTCTAAACGATATATTTTTGTAAGATCCATCCTTCAAAACCGAATGGGAAATTGGATAAGCGCAAAGTTTTTTCATTTTCTTGCTCATTTACAACTTGGTGAAGACAGTCGCTGGTTATAACTGCTTTTGTTCTCATAGTTTTTTCGTTAAATAAAGCTATGCAAACACTCCTTTTCACTTCTACAAGCATTTAAGTTAGAACAGTTGATATTGTCTGTTGAAATTAATAGAAATACTTTTGTCTCTGGAGAACAACTACAGATAAGGCTGAAGAGAAAGATTTACCTTAAAACGAAGCATGACAAGTGTAATGCAGTTCAGTAAGCCGAATTTTTAGTTTTCCTATCTTTTACTCTTTTGTTATTTCTACTTTACTTATTCTTTGACGTTGTTTTTATTTTCTTCTTTCTCTTAATTTTATTTTCTTTGATTTGTTTTCCCTTTCCGTTTAGCTTTCTGTGTTTAATTAATTGTCGTGTTAACGGGCACTTTCTTGAAGCGGAGAACTACTACTGTAGCAGTCCTCCTACATTCCCCATTCAAGTCTTCCTAATGTTACGATATTTTCACTCCAGGTCATAATTTAGCCCTTACTTGCCAAAATGCCGATCAATAGTTTCTTGTTTCTATTCTTAATCTTAGGGAGATCGCTGGCTTCTATGTTTTTCAATCTCTTTTGCGCTGAGAGTTCTTTCCTTACTCAACATACTTCGTTGATGATAACCGTTTATGAAGGAGGAAACTCGTCTTGTAATTAAACTTCTTTATTCTTACTCTAACCGCATATTCAAAATCAACAAATTTCCAGGAAAGTAGACCGAGCCCAGTGACTAGGCTTAGTAAGAAAATAGTGACACAGATGAAAGCATTGTTTAAAATGACAACAACGTTGAGATCTACTGAAAAGACTCGAAGCTGCCAATTGTGCATGAACTGAAATATGAGAGAAATAAAATTGAACAGTGAAGGCAAGGAATTGCTGAATGAAGTTCAACAGTTGAAGCATTGGATGATAACGTCAATGTCAATATTAATCATATGGAAGACAATGACTAACCACAAGCCTTGTAACTCTTTTATACCTGACTTCTGTTTGCTCAGATGGTTAGGACTGCAACCGCTTTGAGAGCTTCTCTCGGGAAGCCACAGTAACCTGGAACTTTTC